TTTAAAAATGGCAGCAAAAGAAAGCTGCACACATATTGAAAAGAAAAAAAGAAAAAAGAGTTGCGCTTGCATTACCCATAAATGTCCAGAACACCAATGAAAGCATGTTGCTTTCCTGGCACCTGTAGTGCTGTGTTTATCCTGTTTATAATGCAGTCAAACAGATGGGCATAGATATGCTTAGCTAGAGCGTCTCTGGCATTTACTGCCCGATCTTTGGGGACCGGCTTCACAACCGTTTCGGCTACCAGAACGATCCTCCGATGGCACAGCCAGCGTACGAGCCCCTCTGCGCTCACCCCCAGCAGCTCGCAGAAGACAGCCAGGTGTGGATCACTGGGCTGAAAGATATACAAATCAAGCTTTGTACATAACCTGGTGAATGATTCAAGATCGGTCGCACACACAAGTTATGAACAGCTACTCACGGGAACTAATGATTTGTCATCGCCTATGTTTTTAATCTCCACATTACCCAAATGCAGAATGGCTGCCAGAACTTTAAACACATCTGACTGAAAGTCCTCCTTCAATCCTGGAGAAAAGACGTTAAAGCTAAGATAAAACTTTAAAATCATAAAGGGAGGTTTCAGTCATGTTGAGGCAACCTTTACCCAGAAGTGAGAAGGTCTGTCGAGTCTCTTCCAAGTCCTTCTTGTCATTCACACCTTCAATGGTTATGTCACCACCCATGCAGGTGTAGTTGAACTTGTCTGCACTCTCTGCAGATGAAAGATTATATTACTGATGCTGCTTATAATAAACTACTGCACGACTTAGTTGTGTTTTCTGAGTGAGTTAGTTTAAATAGTAATAAAACAGCAGCAGTTAAGTGTCACAGATCCACAATAAACCCTCAGTGCAAATACTTACGTAGTCTCAGGTTCTTAAACGCTGGTGAGTCTGCACAGGAACAAATCTGGTAAAATATGTGGTAATTACGCTCATTTTCTGCCTGAAACAAAAACAGAATTTAAGATTAGTATTATGGATTAAACACAGTAACGAAACTTGAAAGAATCCTGATCTTACAATCATGCATACCTGAAAGACCACTCTGGATTTCTCTAACAGGTAGGTCCTCATGTTTGCTCCGATGATCCGGTACTTCCTGTCAAAGCTGATCTCTGTGTATTTCCCAAAACGGCTGCTGTTGTCGTTCCTAGTGGTCTTTGCATTTCCTATTGCCTTAAGAGGTAATGAATTATAAGAACTATTTATAAGATTTTTTTGTGTATGAATAAATATGTGAACATTTTTGCCTGTTTAGTTCAACAGCTGTTTTGTGTAGTCTCGAGATCGTACCTCTGTTATTGGATTGGATGCCAGGACTTTGTCTTCAACTCGTGTCTTATTTGCAGATTTGCTCACAACAGCAAAGTACCTCATAGCGTATCGAGCAGACACCGTTTTACCAGCTCCAGATTCACCGCTGACTATGATAGACTGGTTCTTGTGGTTTCTGAGAAAGAAAAGGGGGATATAAACAAAGTACGCACCACTGTGTCTTGAAGCACTACTTGGGACTTACTTGGGCAGTTATTGACTAGATTTCATTTTAATGATCACCAGGACATAAACGCATGCACGCATAGCACACAACCATACAGTTGTGGTCAGGTGATGTCATGGCAATTTGGGGCCTTTAATTATTTCTTTGGACTTTTCTTTTTCCAGGATGGAATGATTATGTTTAATGAGTTTAAAAAACAAACAAAAAAACCCCAACAATAATTAGGCGCATTTTGAAGTGAGTTTGGGTTTTCTCTAACCCCCACAGGGTCAAATAGATATACATACACTCACTCAAATCTAATAAGTGGGGCTGAAGGCTGTACATTGTTTATTATCTTAACAAGGCCAAGGTCTGTTAACTTCTCATTAGTGATCATGATTGCCTACAACTGTCAGTTTCCCTTTTCCAGCATAAAAAGGATTTGCCTGACAGCACTTATTGGACTGACTAATACTCAGAACAGTGGGAGATTCCAATGAACTCAGTGATCTGCAGATTCCAAGAGCATCAGTTCAAACAACTGTACATAAGTACAAGTTATTTAGATGTTTTAACACTTTCTTGGTGCTGACCAAGAAAGTTTGCCCCATGCATATGTTAGTAGAGTCCTTTTAAATCTGCAGACTCATGCTCACTGCCTCCAATCTGCATACAGTCATCAGTTCTCGCTGATGTAAAACTACTATAAAACTTAAATGAGGCAATCTCAACTTTTATTTACCTTGCCATCTGTTTGTAAGCCTCCTCTGCCACTGCAAATATATGAGGGTCCATGTCTCCCATGTTCTGTCCTGAGTAGGCATGAATGATTGCATCTCCATAGATAGGAAGCTGCTTATAGGGATTTAGAGCCACCAATATAATACCTGAAATGAGGGAACAACACAGACTGAGCAAGAAACTTAACCTGCTAACACCTCAGTACTCAGTTACACAAATGGGTGACAAATTAACAAAAACAAAAAAACACAACAACAGCATAAAGTGTTTTAGTAAGGTGTTGGCTCACTATGTTGGCCAAAAATCTCTGATGACTCTTAAAGCCATAATATGTGAGTCATTATTTGTATACTTATCATGTTATTCAGTGATTCATCGTGACTGCATCAGCTGCATCAGTATCCTGTTTGTGATCACTTGGAGCAACATCGTATGAATTTACAGTAAAAATGCATTACAGAGCCACAGGACCACCTCATTGTAAGGGTCAAGTGTGAGAGGTTTTCCTTTAATTTATCACCCATTTGTCAGTTTAAGGCTTCTTGCAGCTGTACCACAGTAGGTATAGATGATTCTGGACTCCACAAATCGCACTTTGAGATTGTGCAGGACTGCAGGTTCATGCAAGTAACTCAGAGCTGTCAGGTCATTCTCCCCCACCAAGATGTCTGGGTTTCGGAGAGGAGGGAGTTGTGGTTTAGACGGGTCAACAGTGTAGCAGTACTCCTGTCCAGTGATAGGTGATGTAGGAGAATCAGGTCAGCTGGTGCTTCTCACCATTATGTAATACAGTCATATATTGAGGGTATTATTAGTCACTTTCCATTTTACTTACAGAGCCATCCTCTAGAAGCAATTCAAGAACTTTATCTCCTGAATGGAAATCTTTTACAATCTCTGCCGATTTCCACACATGTTCTTCATCTGATATCCACACTCTGTTGTACTAAAATGATTAAAAAAGTGACAAATAATTATTTCAGTTATTAATGCCATGGCTTACTGTACAAGTGACTAAAACCAATACATGCAAGAGAAAATCCACCCAATAGGAACCAATACTCCATCATATATGCTACCTCATAATATTATACTATAAAAAGATGTAGCTAAGTGTTTCGCCTTTAAATTCCTGTGGATCTGTTTGCTTTACAACCTTTCAGAGCGCTGACAAAGTTTCCATATGCGTCTGTAAACTTGCAACCTCTAGACTGTATGGAAACATGATCTTACGTGTATTTTAAAAGATTAGGCTTGTTTTCCCTCTTACCTTGGTGTACAGTTCCAGCACAGCCATGTTTGTGCATTATTTTAGTAACTTTTTTTGTCCGTGTGTTTATCACTTGCTGTTTCACCGCTTTCCAGGTTACCAACACATTTCCTCCCCGCCCCTCACAAATATTCCGGAATAACCTGTCAAGTTAGATTACAAACTCCCGATGATCTTTTTCAAAATAAGAGTCACCCTAAGGCGTTTTTTGAAATACACTTTCTGCATCATTACAGACGTTACGTCCTCTATTTGTGTTAATTTATTCGTCTGCACTGTGTTGTATCATTCAAAGCAATTAAATTGTACTTATTATAAATTTACTTTTTTATTGTTGGTAGCCTGTTACTTTCCATTTTGAAAGAATCAAAAGATTAAAAGGGTGAAAAGCAATTCTGCTGTACAGATCAATTTTTACATTTTACTTGAAGCTCTTTCCCTGGACACCTAGATGCTGTAAACTATTAAAACTTCTCTAAATCCTCTCTGGTTAAGTTGATCCAAAATAGATTCAAATCCATGTATAATTTTGTTTACTGTCTGTTGTCTCAATACCACTGCATTCAGTCTGTAACAAATATATAAAAGCATTGAAATAGAACAATTAAACATTGACAATATTTTCATAGATTGTTTGAATTATATTGATATTTAATTCTAAGAGATCTCAGTTATTGTCAACACAGTTTTTGTCGCTACTTAGAAGTAAATTATCAATAAACCATCTGAAAAGTCTCATGTAGTCATAGCTTTAACTGATCACGTGTGAAGGCCGGGGACTGCAGCGGTTGAAAAAGCTTTTGCATTCATTCTGAAAAACCGATCAGTCATCTTCCGGGTTTGTCTCCTCATTTTCTCGGTGCCTTGTCGCTCACCTGCTCCGGACTTTGGATGACTCCGCCCTCCCGTCTTGTGACAGCGGCTTGCCAGAGTGGGTGTGCTCGTTTTTGTTCAAGGATTCTCACTCCTAAAGAAACAGGATGCTGACGTCGGCCACCTCACCATATATGAGCAGATGTAAGCACACAAACACTTAACTTCTTTAAAAACCAAATCATTTAAGTCAATCCGACCCAAGACTCACAAAAGAGTGAACCAGAAAGGCAAGGAAGCACATTAACACATCCCCAGTGGGCAGCAGGTTAATCATTCATAAATTTTTAGGTCATTTCATCTGTTAAACTTTTGCAAATTCACAGCACTTGTGAACAGGAGACAGCATGCTATTTAGCTGCACAGCAATGTGCAGCTACAAAGGCAATGTTGGGCCAGCACATTTAATTAAATTTTACTCCCAGTTTCTTTAATGGAGGATGTCTACAGTTAGACACAGCTGTATACCTTATTACAAAGAGAAGTGGATGCATTACAGTGTCAAGAGAAATATTAACCATAACTAAAATACTCTTGATTGTTCTGAAAATTCAACAGAACACCAAGCTTGACATACCTCACAAGGTAGTTAAACACTGTGCAGCATTTTAACATCATCATGTTACTGATCAGCCAGCCTTTAATGTGACCGACAACATCAGTTAAATACATATACATATATGTACTTGAACTCTCTCTTCCTTCCCCTTGCCATGATGTGCATAAATAGAATAACATTACATCAGCAGTTATAAAAATATAAAGAAATACTGAGTGCTCCCAAATTTCTGACTAAATTTAAAAATATGAACTCCACTTTTATGAATTCATGTAATCATAAATACCATATAAACAAGTGAACCTGTGAAACTTAGTTTGGTAGAAGAAAAATCCGACCCATGAACGCAAGAATGAACCAGTGTGTTTACAATACAGTCAGCAACACAAGATTTGCAACCATTAAGAGACCTATATTTTATATTCACTGTTCCAAGAGCATTTATGCTTCATACTAAAAGCAAACAGATAACATGTACACGGCCTCTCCTTGGTTTCTGGAGTCCAATAAAAGCCAACTGTGAAGATATTTTTATATGCAAGTATCAGAAGTTACAGGTCTAGATGCGAGTAAGGAAGCCCAGATTGAGGCTACTCGGGATCTGGACGGTGTCCAGAGCAACAGAGGAAGGTGTGAACGGGAGGGTGACGGTGAAGATTTTCTTGGCATCCATCATCAAAGTGGATGACTCAGCTCTGTCTTTCAAAAGGTTCTAAAATGCAAAGCAAACAAACAAAGCCAGATAAAGAAAAGTTACAAACATATTAAACATTAACATAATAGTAAAAGAGGACAAAGCTTTACTCACTTTAATCGTTGTGATGAATGAAGGTGACACTCTCTCTTCAAACTCAATCACCGGTGTGTACAAGGTCAATACTTTGACAATCTGTCAACAATAAACAACAAAAAACAAAAAGGCAATCAGAGCACGAGCAGGATAAACTGATTAACAAAGCTGAGTCTTAACTGATGATCAACCTGCGCTGTGGTGAGGCCAGTGCACATGTTGCAGATGGCTTGGGCATCTGCTTCAGTCTTTTTCTTGATCTGTAGAAGCTGTGCAGCCTGTATGAGAGGCTCCAGAGTTTCTTTTGCACCACAGTCTGTCAGCTCTCTCTCAGCCAGCCACTCCTCCAGCTGCCATACATTGTACCTGAACCCAGAGAAACAATACAGATTAAGCTCCATACTGCCCAGGTAAGTTCTTCCATCATTCTTCTATCCAACCACAGAAATTAAAACAAATATAAAAAAACAGATATGTATTATATTACCTGAAAACTCTGCCACCTTTATGGTTTTGGCAGTGCTATTTGTTAACCTCATATTCAAGGGTAAAGGTCAATTAATATAGTCTTAGGTTAGGATCAGTTGATGCCCTCTTCATGTTTTCTCTCTGGTGAATGCCCAACTCAAATCAAAAAGTTGTCTCAAATGGTATTACCTTACATTTTGCTCTTTGAAATAAAGCCCCTAGATTTCTCTCCCGTCGTTCTCCCAGCTAGATCTCATTCAGTGTGTCATCAGTGACCTTGACATTAGTTTGGGTGAACCTGGCTCCCCTCAGACCCCATCTTAACCATCTCTCCTGAGTTACCATAGTGCATTTGAACTTGTTAAACCATATGAACTGTTTTCCAAATGTGTTTGCTTAAGAAATGGTGAAATGTGTTTAAAAACCTCCTTTGTATTATATCTGGAATATTTATATTTCATGTAATGATGCAGCTATAAAATAATAGCATCTTCTTTACCTGGACAGCCAGGTAAATTATATGCAGTACGTGATCAGTCTGTGTCAAAAGGGGGAAACTTCAGATTAAAATCAAGGTCTAAACATATAAGGCTAATGTAACATAACTCAGTAAGATGGGACTGAGGTCTTGTGTTTGAAATTCATACCTGTAATTCAAATACGACAAGCAGCCGTTTATTTTATGTCTTGACTTTTGAATGCTGATTGATGATAAAGCAGAAATCTTGCCTGATATAAATAATAGACTATCATTTTTATTTTTTATCTTCGCTCTCTTTACCATCTTTTTTGTTTTTCATGCCCAGTGTGTGTTTGGCTGTACCTGATCTGCAGGCCTTTACCCCAGGAGCACATGTCCTTCCGCAGCAGCAGGTGGTTGAGTGTGACCGCACAGATGATGTAAAACTGCTGCTTGACCACCTGTTTAATGAGGTCTGAGTCCATCCCATGCTGACTCATGGTGGTGTGGAAGAGGCCAAGACGCTGCAGGAGGACCTCCATTGTAACAGCCCCCTCTTGTGAGAAACTGGTGCTCCTCTTCCTCAGGCCTGTTGGTTTGGACCCTAAAACACCCTGGATTGTCTCGTTCTCCAGCATGCTCGAAACTACACATAAGACACAAATTGTAGATGACAGACTTAATAACATATGTTGTTACTTGTTAAGTATCATTAGATTACGTCTCCTCACCTATGAGGTGCTGCAGGATGTCCTCCATACATTTGATGAGTTGACGGTAAATCTGAATGGCCAGATCGCCAAAGACCTGCTGGTACTCTGATAGTTCAAAATTGATCAAGCAGTGCTCATTCTGCTTAGCCGTGTTGTGCACCATAAACACCTGAAGTCCACAAAAGTCGTACAGATATGTAGGATTAATTAAGTTCTGTGTACAGCTACATAAATAACACTGGTATACTGGCAAACTTTCAAGCTTACCTCATCACCACTGTACTGCTTCAGACAGTGCATTAACTGGCAGGTGTTAGCCAGCCAGAAAGACACCACATCAAAGTCATTTCCTCTCCTCTGCAGAAAGATTATAAAAATTAAATCAAACTAAAAGCGTCACTTACTTTAATAATGCAGATTTAAGTTATATGCTGCACCTTGATGACCCCTTTGATGCTGCTGATGGTTGAATTTAGCAGAGTGCTAACTCTCTGATCGTCATTCACAATGTCTGCATATCGTACGCACATGAAGATGATGTAGGCAGGAAGGCCTGGAGTGAAGCTGACAGCAACGCCGCGAGGCTTCAGATCTTAGCAGATTGAACCATTTCATTACAAAAAACATCAACCACATTTTATTATTTCCTTGAACATATGTTTGTCCCACCTATGACCAGATTCTTAAGCAACCGGCTCTCGTCACCCTGCTTGTACTCCAACATGCCCTGGTACTCCTTCTCCTTGCGGGTGATGTTCACTGCTCTGCCAGGAGGACTCACCACTGAGCGTCTGGTCTCTTGCTCAGTGCTCACTAAACACAGCAATAACATGACCAATGACAGGATTATTGCTAACATGCTCTTAAAAATAAGTGTAACTATGTACAAACTCAGTTCTTTGTGGTTACCTTCAAAATCTTCAACCTTTTTCATGTAAAGCTTAAGTTGTTTTTTCAGCTTTCTAATGGTTTTGTCTTGTTTCTCTTGCTGTTCCAGAAGTTCCTAAAATTACATAAAAATTAAATTATTACATTATTATTTTAAGGCTAATACATGGCAGAGAGGTGTTTGTTACTGAAACTGTGAAACTAAAAGTATTACTAATATTATTATTACTACCACTTTACTTTAAGGCAGAGTGATAGATGTTGGATAAACCCACCAGGTTCTCTCTGGTCAGCCGTGTAATCTCAAGCTTCAAGCTTGCTTCAATTCGGGCATCTTCAGGCAAAAGGAGGCTCTGAGCCAAC